GTACAGTAAGACTGGTGTTGAGATGAGTAGAAAGAGGTGCAGTATCATGGGGAACATGTCTGACATCATGGGAATTGGCTTTGTGTTGTGGGTGCTTGACGAGGACAGTTACCCTTTGTGAGTTGGTCACGGTCAAATGTGACTGTCCTTATGCATCCCTTGCTCATTTTTGCAGTCATTCTCCTTAAATACAATTTATAGCCTCCCAGAAACCCACTGGAGGGTCAGCTATAGTGTATTCTGACTGAACAGGATGACTTCATTATTCATAAAGATAATAAGCCAGGGCCACTGCCAGAAGTGTCTACATGGAAAGTTGTTTCCTGGTTGTTCCACCAGACAATAAATATAAAATTTAAGTTAGTAAACGAGAGTTTTATTAGTATAGTGCTGAGGCCACTTATTCATTTAAAGGAACACTGCTGCTTTCTAAATAGATGTACCCGATCTTTATCCAACTTCAGTCAGACTTCTTTATTTAGGCTCTGAAATAGGTTTGTTCGTGTCTTCCATCTCACAAACTGTTTTAACAACAACAGACTCTTCTCTTTCTGTCCATGAATATGACTAGTCTACTTAGCCTACTTCGGGGGCACTGGGAAAATAGACGATGATCTCCTCCTTAGCCTCTTAGAGACTCACATCACCACCTGAGACCTGAGGGACACAGATGTCTGGGGCTGGATCCAGGCCACATGAACATGTTTTCCTCAGGAAGGCACAGTATGACACCATGCTGCATACGAAGTAATCAATCAGCAGAGATGAAAAGAAAAAATAAAACAACTTCCCTTTTGATTTCTAACAAGTATGTGTTCTTTAGAAAAACATTTTCTCAAAAGACTCACCATTTTAACATAAGTCATTGGTATATTCCAGTTGTTTGTCTACGGAGAAGTCCATTAGCAAAAAAAAATAAAAATAAAAAAACAGCAACAAAAACTGGAATGTATTCTGAGCTTTTGCCATTTAATACTTTATAAATGAACCTTAATTCTGCTGTGGAAATTGCTAGTGGCATATCAATAGCAGACTACAGAAATTTATTTTAGTGGAGTTTTTAGTCTTTGTGTATAGATTATTTTAATATAGTCTTTACTGATGATTTCCTAGTATGTCTGAGTCTCTAATTAATTTGTTCACTTGCTTTACTTACACAAACAAAGATAGAAACAAGATGAAAACATAACATTCTGTGAACTCATGATGATGAGAAATGAGCTTTGCATAAATAAAATGTAATTAATCAGTCCTCTTTGTCTCTGTGACTCTCAAGCAGTACAAAAGCAGAAATCTAAGCCTGGGGTGGGTGTCTATAGAGTTATCATCCTAAACTCTACAAGATTAGCTGCATAAATAAAAACTAACCTGCTGCTATCCAAGTCATTTCTGATTCATAGTAACCCTGTAAGACAGAAAAGCCCCATAGAGTGTCTAAGGCTGTAAACCTTTGAGGAAGCAGACTACCTCACATCTCTCCTACATAATGACTGCTTGATTCAAACTGCTAACTGTTTGCTTGGTAGCAAAAAGTTTTAGTCCTTGAACAATCATAAATCCTAAAAAAAAAAAAGAAAGAAAAAGAAAATTAAAAAAAAAACCCACCAAAAACAAAACCTATTGCTGTGAAATTGAATGCAACTCAAAGTGACCCTCCACTGGATTTCCAAGACTGTAAATCTTTATGGGAGGTAACTACCCATCTGCATAGTAGCTAATGGATTGAGAATGCTGACCTTTCAGTTGGAACCCAAAACATTGCACATTCCTGTCCAGTTACACTTACAAATACATATCTATGCATTAAATCACAGTGTAATTTTCTGAGTGGGGTTTTTATGAATGTATATGCAAAGGCATTTCACTATGTGGATCACAACAAATTGTGGCTAACCTTGAGGAAAATGGAATCTACGAACACTTGATTGTGCTAAGCAAAACCTATTCTTGGACCAGACAGCAGTCCTTAGAACAGAGCAAGGAAACACTGCATGGTTCAAAATCTGGAAAGGAGTATGCCAGGATGCATCCTGTCCCCATACCTTTTCGATCTATATGCAGAACAGATCATTCAGGCAGTTGGGTTTTATAAGGAGGAATATGGCATCAGGATTGGAGAAAGACTCATCAACAACCTACGTTGTGCAGAAGACACAACCTCGCTTGCTGAAACTGAGGGGGACCTGAAGTGCTTTTTGAAGAAGGTCAAAGTCTGTAGTCTTCAATATGGATTGAAGCTCAACATCAAAAAGACAAAGATTCCCACCACTGGGCCAATTGGCAGCAGCATGATTGATGGAAAAGAGAATGAGGTTGTTAACAATTACAGCTTACTTGGCTCCACAGTCAACACTCTAGGCACCAGCAGTCAGGAAATCGAAAGACGAATTGCAATGAGAAACTCTCCTGTCAGGGACCTCTTTAGAGTACTGAAAAGCAATTACTTCAGTCTAGAGACCAAAGTGTGCCTAATCTAAGCCATGGTCTTTGCAATTATTTGCTATGCATCAGAGAGCTAGATAATGACTAAGGATGATGGAAGAATCAATGCCTTCGAGTGGTGGTATTGGAGAAGATTCTTGAACCATGGACTGCCAAGAAATCCAATAGATCTGTCTTGGAGAGGGTGAAACCAAGTTTCTCCTTGGAGGCCAAGATTTTGAAGCTCCATCTCACATACTTTGGGCACATGGCCCGGAGAGACCAGTCCTTAAGAGAAGGACATTGTGCTTGGAAGGGAAGAGGAGTGGTACAGGAGAAGAAAGACTCCAGATGAGATAGATTGATAGAGTAATTGAGGCAGAATTAGTGAGACTGGCTCAGGACAGAGCAGGCTTCAGAGCTGCTGTATGTAGGGTCACTATGGGTCACAGGAGACTTGACAGCACATAATGACAACAACAACAACTACATATAATAAAATTCACCCATTTCAAGTGTACAGTTTATTAAGACTGACAAACATGGTTATACATTACTGTAATCAAAACATGGACTATTTATACAAAATTTCCTCATGTCTTTTTGCAGTCATTATTTTCCCCTCAACTCTAGCGACCTATGAATTGCTTTCTTTCACTTAATCCAGTGCTGTTGACTGAGTTTCAAGTCATTGTAAACCTCCATTTCTGAGGTTTTAAAATCTTTATGGGAGGTGACAGATATTTGAGTTTAATAGTGGTTACCAAAGGCAAGCAGGAGGAGAGAAAGAAGAGTCATTATTGAGGAAGAATTGTGTTTCTGTTTACAGTAATGGACAATTTGACATTGGATATTGGCAATAATGATGATATAACATCATTAATGTAATTTGGTCCCACTGAATTGCACACATGAAAAATGTTATGTTGGCAAACATTGCATTATCTGTCCTAGTGGTGTTATGGTTAAAGCAGTTATCTGCTAATAGAAAAGTCCCTCAGACAGAGCAAGGGAGGGAATGGGTGCTCTGCTTGTGTAAGTTTACAGGCTTGCAGACACCCTGAGGTACTTCTACCAGGTCCTACGGAGCTGCTGTTGAGTCAGATCGACTTCATGGCACAAGTTTTTGTGAGTTGTGTTATCTGTACTCGTACATTCTCATCGCATCTTTTTTTTTCAAAAATCATTTGACAACATTTATGTGAGTCTTTTTCTCTGACAGATTTACTCCGTTGTGTTCCATTGACCTAGTATCTATCTCTATGCCAAGGAAGGATAAATAGCACTGGAAGCACAGTCAAGCTGGACTGTAGTCAGGACCTGCATGCTGAAAAAGTTCAAGCCAGAGAAACTTGGAGAAAATTTACTTCTTTTTATAATCTATTATTTATTTAGCTAACAATGTCTGAATCCTAAGAAAATGGCAGACTCTATACTAGTGCTGTAAATGGGGAGGCGGGGAGAATACCACTTTAAGGGGTTATAATGGGACCCGATCCACAAGCCACTCTGGGAGAAGGATGGGCATTATCCTCCTGTGCTAGTTCCTGCCTCTGAAAACTCACTGGAGGGTCAGCTATGGGTTGGCTCAGACTCGATGGTACTCAGAAACAACAATGAGGTGGGAGAAGAGTACTGAATACTCAATGAACTGCTAAAAGAAAGCTATGCCTTGGGAAAGTGCAGCCAGAGTACTTCTTGGAGGCAAAGATGGCAAACCTTCATCTTTTAGGGCATGTTGCTAGGAAAGGCTATTTCTTAGAAAAGGAAATCATGCATGGGAAGGTAGAGGGTTAGCAAAAGCGAGGAAGACCACCAGGATGGATAGACACAGTGACTATAGCAAGGACTCAAGTGTGTCAGAGATGGTGAGGATGGCACAGGATAAGACAGGGTTCAGGTATTTTGTTAATAGGGTCATTGTGAGGCATTCTCAACAGCACCTAACAGTCACAATAATGGAGATTCCATTGAGAAAGAGATATGAAATACTTTTATAAACTGTAAATTCAATTTCGTATACTACTATTATTTCAATGAGAAATATAGCTTTTGTGCGTGACATTACTTTAAAACAGGATTCATCGAGAAAGAATAAATTGTTCTGGGCAGAAAATAGTTTTTAACTAGAAAAGCCTTATTGTGGTGATACACCAAAACCCTTTCTCTTTTGCTATTCTATATTTGTATTTTACAAGTAATGTAATTATCCATAGATATGGATGAAACCTGACTGGTCACTTTTAAACTCTGCAACAGAAAGTATTAGGTTTTAAAATTCTAAATTTCCTCTTCCAGATGAAGAAGATAGGCTTATTAATTTCTATTAATAGGAGACCTTCTGTTGACAATTTTTCTGTTAGGAATCTGGCAGGCTCACCAATCTGACAGATGGGCTGAGAATTCAGAAGTATGCCAAAAGATTTTATGAAAAGTGATATAGTAAAATATTATGCCAGTTTCCCTGTCTAAAATTAATAATAATGAGATAAAAATATTCATGTTGTTGGTCATTTTGTCTTAAAAATTTCTGAAAAAGACATTTTGGTGTGTGCTCTTTGCATTTTTCTTCTATATAGGTTTGATTCTCATAAAGGTTTCTGGTGTCAGTTACTAGAAGAAGGTAAAACAAAATGCCTTGGGAAGAGTAAAGGAAGAAAATATCCCCCAATGGATTCTGATGTAAGTATAGAACTTAGAAGTACAAACTAAAAAATGTCAAATGATAAATAATGCAATGTTTATTTTTTAAGAAAATTGGTTAAAATAAAAATTTCATCTTTCTCAAACTGAAAAGTCTGGATCAGAAGTGATACCTGGATTTGAATATATATATAGGCTGCTAGTTTTGAATTTTTCCAATGAAGCCTGTTATGCAAAAATTAAGGGAAAAGAGAATCTTCTGTTTTAAATACGAATAAAGGGGATAGCATCTTCTTGGAAGAAAAATGTTATCACAGAAACATTAGTATTAAAAATATTAACTGAAACCAAGATGAGAAATGTATCAACTAGAAACTGAAAATAGGGCAGTACGGGTCTTTTTTTCTGTCTGATTCATTCTCTAATATTAAGTGTGACCTGAGTAATAATATTAATTGCTGATATAATAAGCCAAGCTTTGAACTAATAATATACTGACAAGTTGAAAGAAGTAATATATTTCTCAAATGTCTAACATGCTTGCAGATAATTTAGGCATTTTGGAGAATGGAGATATGTACGCTTTGATGTATTAATCTGGTATTTCATGCTCATTCTGCGCAGAATAGTTCTGTAGTGTTTACTTACTGCACCAATTTTCTCAGTTTAAAGATTCTGTAGTTTTACTTCAATGTTCATTTTATATATATATACACACACTTTTTTCTT